TCTTAATCGAATTTGGAAAGCTTACAGCTGAAGCAGAGTGGAAGCCCAGAGCTTTTGAAGTGACAGAGCTGCCTCACCAAGCAAATCCTTGCCCAACCAGACACCCAGACAGGAAAGAGGATTCTTGTCTTTTTTTTGCAGTCTTCTTCTTCTGCCTCCCCTCCCCTGAGGCTCCTTGATGAGTTCCCATGTCTATCCTCCTCTCCTCCCCCCGGGACATGGAAAAGCCAGATGCCACAGAACAGGTTTGGAACCAGTCAGCAAGTGTTGTACAGGTTGAATTACAGGAAGAGGAGAAGCAGTTCTAGTGCACATTCTTCTTTCTCACAGTGTGATGAATTAGAGCCTCTTGCACACTCCATGGAGATCACGTTGCAGGAAGAAATGGGGCATCTTTTACATGTCTGTGCTATTAAACAGTGAACTGGAGAAATTACTGTAGGAAAGGAAAGCTAGGAGAGCCCCTTTCCCATGTATTCAGTTTTGTCTGCTACCCCTGCTGGTGGTTTGTTGTGTATGTTATGAAATGCAGCCCTTTAGACAGCTGTACTAATTCTTTCAGATTAGGTTAAATTTTAAACCCTCTGTAAAGGCAAAAATGATCCAAGTTTGAGCCTACTGAGCCAGTTGTAATGTGTTTGATAAGTCTGAAGTGTGTAATGGCCAAACAGTGGGAAAAGCTGCTCCAGAAGGGACCTGCAGTCCTGGCAGGGAGCAGTCCAGAAGACAAGCTTGGGTGAGCTGCTTATCAGATTATCATAGCCCATTAGTTAAAGGAGGGAAAGGTCTCCCAAGGAAGGTTGAAAAAAAATCACAGTGTGTGTTAGTTTCATTTGTCTCTCTTGTATTTGTTGTTCATGAGTATGCAAACTTTCTGTATTTTGCTATTTGGATGTCTATTCTGTTTATTGGTAAATTATTTAATGTCAAAGTCTAGCATTTGATTTACTTTTTGTAGCCTTGAAACTAAGGGTGTTGTTTTTTATCCTGGTACAGTTGTGTAAGTCTTGATAGAACAGAGGGCCATAACTTTCCAGTCTGTTAAGTGACTTACTGCTGCAATTTATTCATAGATGAGAAGGGGGTAGAGTTCCATGGTTTAAATGTTTGATATAAAAAAATACCCCAACAAACTATTTTTCCAATAGCCTAGAAATAAAAAATGCAGTCATTTGGATTACTTGCTGACGTTTATGGAGATCATTTTGCACAGTGCTGTGGGTGGTTGGGTCTGATTCAGTAAAATAAGCTAATAAAATTAGTCTCAGCTCCCAGACCAAAGCTTGTCTCCACAGACTCCACATGTGAAGGAAGCCAGTGCTCTCTTAGGAACTGTACTCTTTATCCCAACCCACTCAGTCTTGGACCTAAAAATTCCCTCTGGCATCAGCCCTGGGTCTGGTGATTGTTAGTCACAGCCAGCATGCCCTGGGATGGTAAGAAAGGGAACCAAGCACCCTGCTTTCTAAGGTGTTCTACTTGTAGCAAGTCATTTACCTTTGTTTTCCACTGGAATTAGAACTTTTAAAGATGAGTAAAGCATTGCAGGATAATCTGCTCCTCTTTGCAGTTTGGCTGCTGAAAACAAACCAAAAATTTCTTAATCAATATCTGTCTTGTCATCAGCACTACAGGAAAGCAAATATGTTTTCACAGTCAAGGAGCAAGGAACAGATGAGCTGCTAGATTTGTGTTTGTGCAGTACTTCAATATTATTAGGTTTATTGATGCATCAGAGTCTTTCCAGTGGGATGTAATGAACTGAGCAATGAGAGTGAGGAATGTGTTGTGTCGTGACAACATGACACAGCAGTGGGGCTGGGCAGAGCAAAGCTGAACTGAATGGAACAGCACTGGACATTGAAATTGAAAGTACTGAAAGCCGTTTAACCTTTTAAGAATGTATTATTTACTTCCTACAGAATTCCCCAAATTGAAGTGGCTTCAGAAATTAGGAAAAGGAAGAAGAACCAAAAGAGAAGAAACCCCACACACTATATTTTTGCTTCTAAGTACCTGCAGCTTTCTAATAAGTTGTTTTGTTACAGTAATTCTTAGGTGGCCAGTGATATGTACCTAGGCTTGAGGGTGCACTATTTTGCTGCAGACTATAAAATTTAGAATTGTGCTACAGTAAAGGCTCTATTTTCTAGCTGCATATATTACTGTAATAATAAAATTGCCATGTGAGGTACACAGTTACAGTCTGCATATAAAACAGGAGACCCAAACAGTGAGATTTTTGGAGCTTGTATATGGACATTTATGCATTTTAAGAGCATTAATGGATATTTTCTGATTGCAAAGAACATTGCCTCAGCTCTTAAAAGTGGTGGTGAGACATCACCTGCATGTGTAGAAGAAACAGTGGAGTTCTCAAAGCAGTTTTAATTGGAGAGCAGCTCACTTTCCCATGGGTGAAGCATAACATCCTACAGTTAACTAATTGGCAGAAAGTGATGGTAATAGTCACAGTGATTCCCTGGTTTGTTGGTATTTAACATTTTAGAGGCATAAGGTTGCAGTTCTGCAGATATATGTGTGTATTACATGCAGGCACTCCAGTTTAAGGTCTCTTGGGTCCAACAGCTGACCCTAAACCAGAATACCTTTTAATTTTCTTTTCCTATCAAAACACTGCAGGCAAAGGATGCCACAAAGCTCACAGTCTTATGCTGAACATGCTGTCAGCTTTTGATAGAGATTCATTGACTCATTCCCTGCATTTTCAGTCAAATCTGATCATCCTCTCCTATCTGATGATTCACCATATTTATAGGAATTTGTTTATCAGATAGCTGCTACCTCTACCCAATGGCTTATAGATGGACTCCTGCTGACCTGCTGTTCTTATCTGTGGAACTTACGCTCTGTTTTCAAAACACCCTCATCTTTACAAGGGCTTTGGAGTTAATGTGCTGTGCAGCAGGCAAAATAGCCTTTCATTCAGCCAGCTCCTCTCAGTGTGCAAGTGTGTGGACAGTGAGTGCTGTCCCTGCATCACCTGGGAAGGGATAACCCTGGCAGCTGGAAGATTCCCATGTTAAAACCCAGCTGGTAATATGAACAGAGAAAGGCAGAACCATGGTGCTTTGCTCTTCTTCACTGTAATCAGACCCTGTGTCCTGCCAGCAGCATACTTGTTTTTATTTAGCAAGCTTGTCTGGAGAGTATTATAGGACTCAACAGAATGCAGCTACAAAATCCTTGTAATTTTATCAAGCATATTAGACTAACAATGGCAAGAGCCTTATATCCAGCAGTAAATCCTGCCAAAGACACACATGACTAAAACCTTCCTCCTTTCCCTAAAATGATCCCACATTTGAAGTCTTTCTCAGTATAGTCAGAATTCTTATCTCCAGATTACTCAACAACTATGCAACTCAATAGTTAGAGAATGGTTCTGAATTATGAATGAAGGCTTTGTTTAAAATCCAGTAGCTTTTCCGGTTTTTTTTCTTTTGTGTAGAAACTTTTCTGGCTTCTCTGCTCAGACTTTGCCAGATGTGGAATGATTGTATCTTCACAGAAATCTGCATTGTAATCTTGATAGTGATTGTGAACATTAACTTTGTAATCCTCACTTGGAAATGTGATGAAGTATAGGTACAGCAATAAACTGGAACAGGAAGCAAGGAGCAGAAGGGATTAGGGTAGAGATTGGAAAACCTCTAGGGAAGGATAAGGTTAGGCTAATGGTGAAGGATGTGGTAAGAGACCGGCTGGATCAAGGCTTTGCAAGGACTGGGAGCAAGTGAGGAAAGTGAGGGTCCTGTGCTTCTCCCTGGTCCCCCCAGGATGAGGGGAAGCCACCAGTCCCTGTATGGACAGCTGGCCGTGTAGCTGTCACACACGTGGATGTAGCTACAGCTACCCTTCCTGCAGACCCCTGGGCCTGCTGTTGGTTCTGGTGAGAGCAGCACTCAGGATGCCTGGCAAGAGCAGGGCAGTTCAGATGTCTTCAGCCATTAAACACATCTCTGTCTCATCCACACCCCCCAGGTGGGTTTGTAGGGTTTTGTTTTTTTCCATTTAGCAGCAGATGTCCTGTTGTGCTCAAACTGATGTCCTGCATTCTTAAAGCCATTTTCCTGCTCTGGGTGAATGGGATACTGTAATGCTAATATACACTATGGTCAGGTATTTTAACCTGCTAATAGTACTGTTTATATAAGTGTGAATTGATAGTTTTCTCCCAAAGCCCCACTGGCATTTCAAAGCTGGCTCTTGTGTATTTCAGTAATACTGTTTATGCTAAGCATAAAACAATCATAGATCAAACTTTGTAAAGTTATGACTAGCTTTAAAGTGGAAATTTTTGAACAGTATAGATACTGTCCTTTATTTAATACAGTATCACTCACTGAGGTCTGTCCTTCACCATTGCAGTTGTCTGAGCTTTGTAATATCCTGATTTCTTCAGTAAAACCAGTCAAGCTTCCTTTGCAAAGTAGGTTTCTTTTGCCCCTTACTGCCTCTTCTAGGAACCTGCTGTTTTGTGATCTGAAACAGTGCAATATCAGAGTTGTTAGTGATTATGATTACTGTCTCAGTCTTCGTATTTCTAGCCTTCTGCCACACTGATCCTGATTGCCCTACTCCTGTTGTGGATGTCTTTATTCCCTTCACTGAGGTATCTGATTTTGCTGGAGGAGGGAGTGGTGCCCTCTTCTCACCACTGCAAAGTGGTGAGGCTCCTCCTGTTCCCCAGGGCAGGGGCAGAAAAGGAAGCAAAGCTGCTGTTTGCACAAGGTAAGGAGGATGGGTAGGAGAGGATGTAAAGGGTTTACCTAGGGAAGATGTGCCACAGGGAGGGGAGAGCTGCCTGGGAAAGAAACAGGAGAGAGGAGAGATCTTTTCCCATGCTGAGCCTCCCCCACACCTCACTGACACCGTGTCCAACCATCCTGCCAGGGTTGGAGGTGTGTGGCCAGGACTCGCATTTCTGGTGCCAGGCAGAGGAATGCTCTTCCCTGGCCATGGCCCTGGTGTTAACCATGTTGCTTTGTTTACTCTAGATACACTTTATACTGCTGTTCAGTCGGCAGGGGAAGTTAAGGCTTCAGAAATGGTACACGACGCTACCTGATAAAGAGAAGAAAAAGATCATTCGAGAAATTATTCAGATTATTTTGTCTCGCAATCAAAAAACAAGTAGTTTTGTTGACTGGAAAGACCTCAAGCTTGTTTACAAAAGGTGTGAGTAATTTTGTAAGAACATATAATGACTATTCATATGAATAACGCATGCTAGAAGAGGAGAAAGAAAGGTTCACCTAAGGAAAAGCAGCAAACAACACTTGTAGCACTGGGCTGAGTTAGGAGCCTGCCACTGGCAGTCTGGGTATAACAAGGCAGTGTCCCTGGACAAACCAGCAGGGTAATTGTGGGGTGCAAAATACTTGTACAGTCTGTCAAATGAGAAAAACAGGAGTAACCTAATAGGTATTGGTGTTATAGAAGGCATTAGACCTCACTGCCCCTTCAAATTCCCCAGGGTAGCCTGGCTGAGATGTGTGTGCTGGGTTTTATCAGCTTTAGAGATTGGAGGAACTGTTCCAAGGCACTTCCATAATTCTGTCAAATTTTGGTTTTGAAATATTTGTTGCTCTGGAAAGTGTTCATTCCCATTTTCTCTTCCAAAGAAATCACTGGTCCCCAGTCACACGACACCTAATGTTAACTGCCTATTTGTTCTCCTAAAGTTGTAGCAAACAAACGTAGCTTTAATGTGTAGTACACTGGGTAAATTAACCATCTCCCATTTAGCAAAAACTGAGTTCCATGCTGTGATGGGAGGGATATAGACATCTGATCAGAAGCTGTGACAAGTTGGCCTCCAGCCACAGCATCAGCAAGCTGAATAGATCTTGGGTTGGTTTAAACATAAAATTTTGGTGCAAGTTAGTTATGAAGCTTCTTTGGTCTAAGCAGCTTCATGCATTCTGGCCCTCTGTAAGACACTGTCATTTGACAGCCAGCAGGCTTGCTGAGATGCAGCTTCTTTCACCTTTGCCTTATTTTTATTTTTTTAATTAAAAGTAGTAGCTTCTCCTACTGTTTAATTAACCCCACTTACTGTAGTGCTATTGCAGCAGGAGGAGGAGTCCTGAAGGAACTGCTTACTACTGATTTATTGCCTGTTTCAGTGTTACAGGTGTCTCACGTTACCAAGGGTGGAGTTGGTTCTTCTAACTAAAATAATAATTTGTTTAAATCATCTGATCTTCAAAAGTGTTCTCTGGGACCTCTAGGAGTGAAAGAAGATGTTTATTTTAGGGACTAGATGAGAATTAACTGTCATATGAATGACCTGTAAGAGGTGAGCAGAGCACTGAGGTCCCAGCTGTTCACTGCCATGTTTCTCCTGTGTTTCCCCAGGTATGCTAGTTTGTATTTCTGCTGTGCAATAGAAGACCAGGATAACGAGCTGCTGACACTAGAGGTCGTTCATCGATATGTGGAGCTCCTGGACAGATACTTTGGAAACGTAGGTTTCACTTTCTCCCATGAACTCATTCCTGTCTGTCTGATAAACAAAATTATGTGGAGCTGATCTGCTTTGTGTTCCATCTGCTGCACTTGCCCTGCAGAAGCTGTCAATCCAGAATGAAATTAATTATTAGAGTATTTTATAAAACAGTGCTGAAATGGTCATAAGATTGTTTTTCCATCCTTTGTCCACTTGCCCAGAATTAGTGTTGGTGCGTTGTATGTCTGTCTTGGTATAGAATTTAAAGGGAAAACTTCAGGAAAAAAACCTCAAAACAGGTTTGTTTTTTATTTGCTTTGTTTGTTTTGTTTATTTGTTTTAATTCTCTTTCCTGACATTTTCAGATATACTGGTTTTGTTTGTCTCATAATACTGTGTAACAATTAAGGACATAGAGGCAAAAGATAAAATCAGTGTGTTTTTAAAGAAAAGACTTAGAGAAAGTCCAAGTAAGTCTTTCGATAAGTTTTTAGAGACTCTTTTCCCTGAATGTTTTTGAAATGATCCTGCCTACCTTAATTCATATCTTAGTTAAATCAGTGTGCCATGACCTCTCTTTACTGCTTCAAAACTAAAAAGCAGTTGGTGGCTGTTGCTGGGCAGGGAATTGTCTTGCTCTGTGAAACTGAACCTAGGTAACCCATACTCCAAGGGCTGTGTAGGACCTGTGATGAGGTTAGTGGGCCAGGAAGTCAGCTTGGATCTCTGACAGCCAGCATGAACTTAATAAGTGGAATATCTTTGCTCTAAGTCTGTATGTGTGGAGAGAACGTGTGCAGAAGCTTCAATATTACATAACATGCAGTTTGTTTCTTCGCCCTGCTACCTGCACAGGGGTGCTTATGCTGAGGATATTTGATCATCACAACAGCCTTTGGCCTAGTAGTGCTTAGAGTACTGTAAAAGTGGTTTAAATGTGGTTGTGGCCTCTTGTTCTGGCAGGTGTGCGAGCTGGATATTATCTTCAATTTTGAAAAAGCTTATTTTATTCTTGATGAGTTTATAATTGGTGGAGAAGTACAAGAGACTTCAAAGAAGACTGCAGTGAAAGCCATAGAAGACTCTGACATGTTGCAGGAGGTAAGGCAGAGGAGGACAAAAGGTGAACACCTCATCTTCCTAATCTTCCTTGTTTGACAGGGGAGGAAAACACAGCTAAGCACTTCTGGTACTTAATTATCCAAGTGTGTCTTACATTCAGTTTCAACAGGTTCAACAGTGCAGTTACATAAGCTTTCCATTCAACCCTTTTGGTATCATCGGGAGGGCCTTTATATAAAGCTGTTGCTCTCTTGCAGCTTAACTGCTGGAGTTTATTAAGATAGTTTAAGATGTATCTAAGATACTTCTTTAGTATAAGAACATAATCTAAGGTTATATTTTATGTATGCATATGTATATATAAATACAGAAAAATCTCTTCTATTTCACATGTTTTTAAAGCAGAATTATTTCTGCACTTTAATCAATTTTATATAATTTCCTGCAAAACTACAGCTGTCCTCAAAGAGGATTTTCATGAATATTACTGTACCACTTCATAATGCATCAGTTGTTTCTTTGTTTTTGTTTCTAGACAGTGGAAGAATATATGAACAAGCCTGCATTTTAATGTTAAACTACCTGGAGAGAAAACTGCTGTATGCACCTCTAAAGTGCACTTCCTGAAATTCTTCCCAATGTGCCAGATACTCAGAGGAATACCAAAAACCAATAACTGAAAGGGTTTGTTTGTATAATGGTGAAGATGAAGGTCAGCTAATGTAGCAAAGGGTTTAACAATTCCGTGCTTTGCATTACTCTGTACATGAGTTTCTCAGAGTTGTTATTGCCCCAGTCTAGTTTCTCTTCTTGTTGCTGGACTCAATTCTTGTTTTATACCACGTCTTTTAGCTACGGGTTTTGTCATCACAAAATGCTCCTCTGACAATACTTTGAGGAGGTATTTTTACTAATTTTGTTCACTGCTGACTGTATGACTCTACTTTTGTACAAGTGTCCATTATTTTGAATGTAATGGTTATTCTGCTGTAATAATAATTTTTTTCTAAAAGCCAAATTGTTGTGGGCCCTGATTTCACAAACTTGTTGTCAAGATTAACTGTTGAATTATATGAGGAAATACACATCTCTTTGGGGTAGCTCCTTTCTTTCACTGTCTGCCTTCTCTTTTCTGCTCTAATCTGCTAATAAGACTGCTCCAGCTGCTCCTAGAGTGCACTCCATGCCTCCTTTTAATCTGGAAGACTGTTTGAAGGTAGGCTTCTCGTAACTTTAATGAATCCTCTTTTTGCTGCTGTATGCAGATGGCCTGTTTCTGTCTTTCTCCTCCTTTTCCTATCCCCTTCCTAGATCCCTTGGACCTCTCCAAAGGCTCCAAACTTTGATATTGTGCTGCATGAGTGCAGGAGAAAATCTGAAGAGAAAAAAATCAGCCTTTGGAAGATAATCTTGTCTATCTTTTGGTATCCCAAACCTGTATTTCCCAGTAGAGTTTTCCAGTCTCAAATTCACGCACCTGTTGGGATGATCAGCTTTATAGTAGTTGAAGTTGCCCTGTTTTTTTGAAGGTTGAGCAATTTAATCAGCTTTTTATAACTTTGCAAGCTGTGAAAAGGATAAAATAGAGGAGTCAGCTGGGCTGTGTGCCCTCCTGTGTGTTACAAACCATTGCAGCAGAGTGTGTGTGGAGCCAGGTGTGCTAACTCACCTTTCAGTGCAATTTAGACTATAAACTGATTGAACTGGGTCCCTTAGAGAGATTGTCCTCCTTTAACAGAATCCAAAGCTCAGAGAAATTGTATTTATCTGAACCCATAACTCTCAGCTAGATGTTTTGTTTCTGTCCAGTCATGAAATTACTCTACGCAAAAATTAGGGAAGTTATCAGACAAATATGCCACAATGATCCATGCGTTGTTGCCTTTCCTTTCAATATGTACATTCCCCTTGATTTCTGATGTGTACAATCAATACTTTCTTTCAGAGGTCTTTCTAATCTTTAAATGTCCTGAATGCTTATTCTGATTTTGTCACTGCTCCTTCCTTCCTCATCAGTTTGTATATTCCTACAGAAGGGACACTGGGGTTTTTTGGAGAGTGGGGGCACTTTCACACAACACAACTTTGCTGATTGTCAGCCCACTATTCTGCCTGTGCTTTCCAGTCTGTTAGTAAAACTGTGACAAACTGGTTCATAGCATCATGTTGCTCTTTTTTATAATTAATTTATCCATCTGTTTTCTCTGTATTGATGTCAAAGGAATACTTTCAGCCTGGAAAAGAGTGAAAATTGCTGAAGGGCCTTTAGTAGCTCTGAAGACATCAAATTTAATAGTAAATTAATGAAATTGTATGATTTGTATATTATTTTCTCATGGTTTGAAATTAAGTTTTTTAAAGTACAGTGTTTAATTGATTAAGAAATCATTAAGAAATCACTTCAGAATGTGCAAAGAGGCTCCTCCCACTCTTTGCCTTTATAAGTGACTTCTACTGACTGAAATCATCAGTAGTTTGATTTTACTCTCTTTTGGAGCCATGCTGTGATTCTCTGACTCTTAAAACTGTCATGTTGGTTGAATTCTGAATTAGATCAAAATAGGAGTACCAAAAAGATTTCTTGGTACAAAAGTCTGTCTTTTCAGTCATGTTAAGAAGAGGTAGAAGGCTTCTTTCTGCATCATTTCAAGCTGAAGAGAATTCCTGATGGAAGAAAATAATGGACTGGGTAGAGGTACTTATACCAGCCATATCAGTGTAGCATGTGAAATAAGTAGCATTGCCAAACTGGTGTATCCAGTGTCAGCTTGAGAAGTGTGAAGGAATTAGTCTGGTAAGTGTGAAGGAGTTAGTCTGGTTTCCTTACCCTAGTGCAAAAATTCATTGGAATAGGTGTGCCTGTTGTGCCACCTGCCTCTGTGCTACAAAGATGAATGGAAAGCATGTTAAGTACTCTAAAAGACCTGGTGAATTACGTTCATGCTTCAGGAAACATCTACAGACTCCTGCTGCTTTTGCGTGTAGGAGAGCTGCACAAAGCAGGCAGGTGAGCCTTAGCTGATGTGGCTTTTGCCTGCATACTTAAAAACAGGTGGGTTTGAAACATAAAACTTGTATTTAAACTTCTTACAACCTTCAGTGAGAAAGGGATCACTCAGGTAAGTAATGTTGTAATGGAATTCAGTTCACCTCAGGTCTTTCTCCAAAGGGAGGAAGCCCAAATGAAACCCAGTTGTTGTCGGGTCACCTTTAGGTTGCTGTCAGACTGCACGTGTTCCCATCTTTGTGAACTTCATTGCCACTAACAGAACCCTACACAGATTAGTGCACTGCAGTGCATAGCTCATCAGATTTGTGTCTCCTGATGTCTTAGTTCCATGGTTTTTCTTGGAGCAGGAGGTAGGTGCATATGTCTTGTACATATTCACTAATCTCTGAAGCATTGCCATCTGTATTTGCTGTTGATGTTTCTCTTTCCAACTTGCCTGACCATCCTAGGTAATGCTCAATATAAAGTTTCCTGAGAAACTTTATGAAATTATTAACCAAAAAACTATTATCAAGCTCTTTAAATATTCCCCATCTCATAATCTTTTGCTGTTACCTAAACTCTAACCTTGCTGACAAGCTTCCAGCACACGTCCTAGTTTGCAAAATTGCATTTACTAAAATAACCATTAATCAGAGTCATGGTGCTAGCCTAGATTCCCTTCCTTGCTCTCACCAGCTGCATGTAACAAAAAGCTGCTTGATTTTCATGTGAGCATCCCTGCCTGGAGGATTCTTTAGTGTGATCTTGTTGCTCACTTTAGTGTGATCTTGCTCTCTTGTTGTCCTGGTTGGGACAGAGCTGCTTCTCTGTCGTGCAACTATTTGCAACACGAGTTGAGACACCTCTGAACACACCATGGCAGAAGAGGCAAACATTAGACTGGGATAAAAATAAGTGTAATAATGTCAGAAGTAATAGAAATGTGACAAATCATCGTGAGAGAGAGGCAAGAGCAGCAGGATCACACAGGATTCATGAATTTTTATAATTTTTGTTTCTTTTTTCATTGTGAATTTCTGAGTGTTCATTAAAAGGTGTCAGTTCTTTAAAATAATTTAAGAAAACTGACATTTAGGTTGCCTCCTATCAGCTTTTGTTTAACCAAGAACCACTGAAAGTCTCCAATGCCTTCCCCAGCTGCTCCTGCAACCCACCTGTGCTTTCAGAAACCCCAGTGGGAAACTCAAGGTAAAGTTCAGGTGTGCTTCTGCATCTGAATTTTCCTTGGACAGAATAATGTACTTACAAAAGAGTGAATTACTCTTTTTTTCCTTTATTTCACAGTCCTTTCAATAGAGAACATATTTTTTATTCCTCTGCATTGGAGTAATGGAGCATGCAGAATGAATACATCAGGTGTTGGGTGGGGCTGGTTTATAAGGGAAGATCAGAGTGTAAGTGTGAGTGGGGCTTTCAAAGGTACCCAGAGGTGTTGAGTCCACAGTCCCCTCAAAATAACAAGGCAGTTCACAGAGAGAGGGAGAGAGAGAGAGAGCTGCCATCCCTGCCTGCCCGTGACGCTGTGTCGCACTGGAAGTGCGTGTGAAGGTATTTCTGTCAGCACAGCTCCTGTGAGGGGGATGTTGCTCTCCCCCTGCCTGAGATGACTAAACCCAAAGGTCTCTGTTCTGCAGCTGATCCCTGTGGTGGGGTTTTCATTACCTTTATCCAGTGTCTTTATGAGCATGGAGTCTGCATCATCCTCCTGCATCACTGGATTTCAGGTTTAGAGGGCTGGCAGAACTCTGAGCTCAGACCAGGTAACAGTGTCCTTCTGGGGGAGCTGACAGCATTCCTGCTGAATTCAGTAGTGTGCGTGTTCCTTGGCAGGATCACAGTACAAAGGAAATAGAGCTGTTGATTTAAATGTCTCTTAGCATATTTCAGGGATCTTTTTTCATGAAGGTAGCTGGGCTGGGTTACAGTATACTAGTGAAAGCTTTGTGTTTGTAGCAGAAATAACAGGCTGTGCTGCAAGAGAGTTAATGTTTGCTGTCATGGAAACCTGTTGCCTTGGAACATGATTAATAACACAGGCTAAGGGAAAGGAAGAAGCTATTCTTGAAATTAGTGTTCAGCAAACCCCCAGCAGTATACAATATTATGAATTTTAGTTATTTCAAATTCTGATGTCTAGTTCACTTAACTGTGTCTTTTAATTTACTTATTCAACAGTTCTTATAACCACGTTTTTGTGCAAAGAAAGTAGTTTAATGCTAATCCTTTGGCTGACTAGAAAGAACTAGCATGTTACTTGCACTCCCAGTACACTACAAAATTTGTTCAACTTTTGTGGAAAGCACACACTGAAGACAAACTTGTGGCTGGAATGCCAGGTGACAGTAGCAGTTTGGCTGAGGATTTTTGCCTTTTGACTATAGTTGTGGGTTTCAGAGAGTTCAGGAATATGAGGTAGGGAACACTTCTGTGGACTTAGCCATTTGGAAAAGTCTGGTTACTCCTGTATATTGGTGTGGTAAGATTGCTATTCTCTAATGCTGAAAGGAAATGGCAAGGGGAACATACAAAAGGTGTTTTTAAAGTTGGTGTCACCCTTCTGCCATCTCCTTTTAGAATTCCCACTGAGGCTTCTTTCTTCTGGAGTCCCTGCTCCAAACCCAGTTTGTATCATTACACACCAAATTCTGCCATGGGGAATAGAATGTTTTTCTCCTGCAGAGGTGAATTTGTGTATCTGTTGTAAAAACAGTGCTGAATGTAGAATAGTTTACACAGGGTGACAAATTCATTACTTGCCATGAATTTCATCTGCCCTCTGGATGAAGATCTTGCGTGAATAAATTACCAGCAGCTCTAAGTCTCCCTGCCTCGTGGAGATCACACTTCAGGGCCCTCCTCCAAGCTCACAGTGAGGAGTCAGCCTTAGCTGGCTGAGCCAACAATGACAAGTCACAGGGGAGCATCTTCACAGAAGTTACAGGTGAAAGAATCTTTTTATTTCTCCAGAGGGCTTAAGGTGGGGCTCTAGGTGA